ACTCCAAAAAGCAACTAGAAAACGGAGTTGAGTGATTTATCCAAGTCCACAGCCTTGAAACGCCACCCCTGAGAAAATTAAGTGATTGCACATCACTTTTCTCAGCACCAGGTCTAATCACATTTTTTCAGGTGCTATTCAAACCAAGCAGCTCTGTGCTGTTGGCTGCGTGTTACCACATTCTTGGGATTTGGACAGCTTGAAGGAACAATGGTCCTACCTAATAGAAAGCTTGATTCCAAAGCTGACCTCCACACAGCGTGCCAATTTAACAGACAAGAACAAGGATGTAGAAGACTAACGAATAAAAACAAACCAGGAAATATTGATTTCAACTGAGAAGCATGGTGTTTAATTTAAAAGGCAGCTCTTCAGAAAATCCTTTCTTCTGTTGTCAAACAAGCATTGGAGCTTGTCTATCTTTCCAATCATTCAATTAGAACAGGGACGAAGGAGTGATACAGTCTTGGCTTTCAAGCAAACATTAGGGCACAGGGTGGATGCAGGGTTGGGAGTCACCATTTTTTTCAGATTGCCAGCTTTAATTTCTACTGCCTGAAAAAAGGAGATATCCTTTCCTCCTTACATATCTAGCTATTTTCCTTCTTTTCTCTCATAAGCAAAACAGAGAGGTCTAAGTCCAACTAATAGCATAAAACGTAACATGAAGGTATCTTATATGGCTAAAGTTTTTCACTTTATAAAGTCAAATGACTTAGACTTGCACTTTGTTTTCTAAGTTAATATACTTACTTGGAATGCAAATGAAAGTGCAAATTGCAGTTGATAGATTCTGCCTGAAAGCACTAAATTTAAGAGTCTTCTAAGTGTAAAGGTTTGTATCTTTTATTTGTTTACCTGGTATCAAAAGATAATTGCAGTAAGTGATATCTTAGACCAATATCGGGTCTCAAAAGATAACTGCAGTAAGGAATATCTTTGACCAATTTTAATGAAAATAAAGTTTTCAAGTATGCATACGTGAGCTAAAGTGTAACACTCTAACACATTTAGCCATGTAGAGAGGGTAGGTCAAGGTCAAATAAGTAACTTCAAATTAAGATTTAAGCAAACGATTACTGAGCAACTCAAGTAATATCAAGAGTAAAAATTTACAAATTTTTAGCACATGACTGCTTACCATGGTGATGGGGAAATGAGGCATGTTGGTGTTCAGGTAACCATTTGTGATTTTACTTCTATCCTCCTGCATCTTAGGAGTATGTGAACGTATCAGGTAAATCCCTGCTACTTTCTAAGTACAGTAAATGTAAATATCCTGAGCTATGCTAGATCTATGAATAATTTTAGTGATAAGTGATTTTCCCTCAGGTGTATAGACACATTGTCTAAATAAATTCATCCATTTCTGTCACCCTGAAAGAGAAGTCCATGTACAAAATGCCATTGCTTGTAAAGTATAAGCCAGAAAGAATCATTTGTAATTCCAATGGATATTGCTTAAATAGAAAATTTTGTGCCACAAATTTAAAATTCCAGAATCAACCTCACACAGATCTCTTGTCACATGTAACTTTGAAGTCTTGTCAGCACAGCTACCTAATTTATATGAAGCACCCCGGAGTCAGTGTCTCTTTGTAGTGTTATTTGTCAAATAATTCAAGCACTGCTTTAAAGTATACGTGAGTTTCTAATCAAGAGTTTCTAATCAATCCCTGGGCCTTTAAATGATATGTGATGCGATGCATAATTTTTTCCTCTAAGTATGTGAAATTCTAAGTTATATTTGCCTTTGATATCTTTATTTTTCCTTATTTTAGAAGTACTGCAGGAAGGAATAAAGCTACTGCAAAGTAAACATTCGATATTCTGTTAAAGGAGAAAGGACCTAGCAAGAATTTGAGAGGGTGTGTGTATGTATGGATGGTTTGTGTCTATGTGTGTCTGTGGGTATATGGGCTCTTCTGTGAGAAACAAAAATGCAACTGGATCCTGGGGGGAATTTTTAATCAAAATAAAATACTACCAACTTAGCATTTCTTTGTTAATAACCTGAAGCCTCTTGTATATCCACATCAGGTTAGAAATTGGGGTTTCTTGTTACAGACACTCTCATTCCCTCATCTCAAGTGTTACGCTTCAAACCCTTACAAAAATTTCTGCCTGGATTCTGCAGTCTATGACCTCAAAATTATATTATTATTTAGGATCTTCTGGAAGCATATGGTACAGACCTCTACTATAAAACTGATTAACTATCTGAGATAACTGAATGACAAAAATCAGTCAAAAGTAGTACAAAGAATAAACTCAAAGCTATGTATATATGTTCAAGACAGAAAGAAATGGAAAAAGAAAATCAGAATGAAACATATGTATTTATCCATCTGTACATCCAGATATACATACATGCATATATATATATGTGTGTGTATATATATATATATATATATATATATATATATATATATACACCATGCATACGTCATATGCACACATTCACGCATACATGGGGAGGGGGGAGAGATTAAGTTAGCAGAGATGACTGCCTGAAGGCAGTTAATTGAAAAGCAGAAAAACTCAGATTTCTTGGGTAACACTTTCTCTGCTAACTTTATAACTTAATAATTCCCATTAACAATCCAAGGATGACAGCCAGGCTACCAAGAAAAAGAGGAAAATAGAGGTGAGTATCCATGCACCTCAAAGAAAAATTTAAAAACTAGTTAATGAGTCTAATTTTGTGAAGACAGCACTTCACTGCAACTGTTATGAGACAAGTCAACATAAGATCAGAGAAAGTTAAAATTCCATGAGTTCACAAAAACTGTCAAGAGCTCTATAACTTCCTGTCACTTATGAAGGCAAAGTACTCAATGGGAATATCCGAATATGGATGAAAAAATTTTTACTTAAGTGTGTAATATCTTAAAAGCTATCTTAGGATTGAAGCTGATAACCAGTAGGCACTACCAAGGTTCAAAGACTGTTAAATATTGAAATCACATCCGCTTAATCGCCCTGAGTGTATTTCTACCTGGGTTTCCTGCTTTCCCACCAACCAGCAACTCAAATGTTAGCACCAAGGGCCCTAAAGTCAATGTCCTTTCCTATTTGTCTGTGCTCTGTGCCAACCAAAGCCACCACGTGTTTTGTTTTGTCACCTGCCCCCCAGACTCAGGGCTTAGAAAGGTCAATTTTTGCCCCCTGTGGGCCTTCCTCTCCTGACCTTTCCAAGAAGGCCGAAGAAAGAAAAAGAGATGAGGCAGCTGGGCAGTAATGGGGAACACTCCAAACACCAGCCCAAATGTGCAGGCTCCAGCTACTCCACAGAATATCCCATAAGAGAAAAGAAGCTATGGGAGTCAGTAGGGATGGTGGTAATGGGTTGTGACCTGGGCCAAAGAGGCCCAGTGAGGATCCCCATTTAACTATCTTTGTTGAGGGGTATCTGAATGGCTTGGTCAGTTAAGCATCTGACTCTTGATTTCCACTCAGGTCATGATCTCAGGGTCATGAGATAGAGACCTGCGTAGGGCTCTGCACTGGGTGTGAAGCTTGCTTAAAATTCTCTCTTTGCCTCTACCCTGCCAAGCCTCTCACCCCCGATCTCTGTCTCTCTCTCTCTCTCAAAAAAAAAAAAAAAAATCTCTGTTGAATTTCAGTACCATTTAATAGTACACCTTTCTTGAAATACAAATAAGCCCGCATGTCTGGAACATTAACAATATTAATATTATTTTTATTAATAAATATAAAGAGCTATCTGTTACAGTGTCTTCAATATGTGCTGAAAATACTATAAACACACACACTGGTATAATTTGAACACTAAAGTTATCATCATCGTTTTAATCAGTTAGATGAAGGAAAACTTCACAGGAGACATAGGGTTTATTTAAATATTGAATGGTAAAGGTAGGGATTCAACCCCAACAACCTGAGAATAGAGGCCAATTTCTATGCGAGCTGTTCTCACATGGCCCACAGGGCTCAGGGGGACTTAGATAGGATAGAGAGCCCGTGACCTTTCCCAAACTCAAATTTGGGAAACCCTAGGTCAAGCTTATCTCACTTTTTTTAATGTAGGCCTCTTTGGGTATTTTTAAAGTATGTTATCAAAATTATATGTATTATGATTGTAAATCAAGTAATTCAAAGAGATTGTGCTTAAAATAATCTTCATAAAATCTTTCCCTGCTCTCAGCCTCGCTTTTACCTTTGATTTCTGCTTTTGTTTCTTAATTTCAGTTGGTGATTGACTTTTTAGCTCTAATACTAGACTAATGACTTTAACAACTTCTAAATAGTATCTGGATGGCACTCTCCCTTTTTAAATTTATTTTTATTTTTTAATTTTTTAAAGATTTTATTTATTTGAGAGAGAGTATGAGCCCAAGCATGGGGGAGGAGCAGAGGGAAAGGGAGAAGCAGACTCCCTGCTGAGCAGGGAGCACAATGTGGGGGGCCAATTCCAGGACCCCGGGATCATGACCTGAGCCAAAGGCAGATGCTTAACCACCTGAGCCACCCAGGTGCTCCGGGATAGCACTACATCTTGATATATATACTTTTGAGAATAATTACAAGCCAAAGAAAATAATTTCGTTTACTTATCACTTTTCCCCTACTTCATTCTATAGTTGATATTTACATTTGGTTCTTCTTTTGCCTAACTTCTACTTCTAAATGATACCTCTGAATTGTATTTGTCTATCACCTTGAGTTAGCTTTTCTCACGGTCTGCACCCCACTTTTTCTTCCGCTATGCTGACCCACTTTCCTCCACCTATCCCACTCCGGCCTAGGACACACAGCTTTACTTTTACATCACTAAGTCCAGTGTTTACATTGTCTTCTGCCAACACAACCAGCTGCCTTCTATTTGAAGACTCCTGGAAAATCTAATGGTGTGAGATCATGTTATTATGTGAACTCAACGTTCGGCATGGGGATCATACATCTTATAATGTAGCTCCTGTTCAGTTGCATATTCTTTCAAGAAGTAAACAATGTTCCAAGACCTCAAACTACAGTACCTGTAACTTTCAGCTTTTCAGCCCCAATGGTAATCTCATCTTCATCTGCAGAGAACAGCACCCTGCCATCTTCACTCGCTCTCACTTCAAATCTTTTACACTGAGCTTCCACAGCATCAGCTCCTATGGTCAGAGGAAAGGTTTAAAAATGAAACTGGTATGCAGGAAACCATTAACATGTAATTTTTTTTTTAGACAAAGAGAAGAAATGCATATATTATTTAGTTATTTTACCTCTGCAGTATGTTTTACACCTGAATTAATACTTCTAAATTCTTATCCTTTCCAGTAGGCTGTCTAATTTGGTAGAGTTTGCTGAGCTAGGATGGTTGGGCATACATCTGACTTCTAAATGCTTGACATAGTCCTAACAAGGTTTGTAGGTTTAGCTAATTAAAAACAACAATAACAGAAACAAAACAAAACAAACAAAACAAAACAAAAAAAGCTTTTGCATATACACAAGGAGAGATGGCATCTGCTTTGTTCTTGGTTATTGCCTGAAAACTTGGCTTTATATCTAGCACATGCTAGATGCTCAATAAATATTTCTGGTCAGAATACTTGTGGTCAGAATGACTCCCATTTACTTTCTGTAAGCAGACAATAGTCCCCACACTTGCTACATCACACTTGTAAAGCATTACTCAGTTGTGAACCTTTAGCTACACTACATTTCATACATGCTAATATTGAAATTTGTTCACCCTTTACTATCACTGAATGCGAATGCATTTTACAGTCGATCTTGTAAAAAAATATATATATATATGTATGTTTTTAGTGCTCCCCAATGTATCTTCTCATCAATAACTTTCTTGATTTATTTAAAATATAGTATTAAATATACTTACACCATGGAATTGAAAATCTGTTTCTGATTTATTGGACAATTTTGCATATTAATGCATCTACAAATCACAAAGGCAGCTCCCATATTTGGAAAACATGATTAATTTGTGAGTTTGAAAGTCTTCAACAAAAAGATCAAACTGGCCAGAGGGTGAGGAATTGCTATTTCCATAACATCAGTTTATTTCATTTGTCATAACACATTTGGCATATGCTACATCTTCCCCTCCGGTTACGATTTGGAGCATTTCTCCTCTGCTCTCTCCAACAAAAACCCTTATCGGATACAGTCCCGCCCAGTCAGGGACCTAGGCACATCACACTTGTGTGTGTACCTCTTTTCATTTACTTTACATATGCTACGGACTGAATGTTTGTGCTTGCCAAAAATTCTTATGTTGAAATCCAAGCCCACCACGTGGTTGTATTAGGAAAGGCGGTCTTTGGGGAGGTGATTAGGTCCTGAGGGTGGAGCCCTCACGAATGGGATTAGTGACCTTATAAAGTCTGCCTTTTTCCTCTCTGCAATCTGCCAAGTGAGGACCTAGTGAGAAGCCGGCTATGTACAGACCGGGAGGTGGCCTCTCGTCAGACGCTGGGTATGCTAGCGCCTTGCTGTTGGAATTCCCAGCATGCAGAGCTGTGAGAAATCAAGTTCTGTTGTTTAAACCACCCAGTCTATGGTATTTTATTATAGCAGCCCAATCAGACTGAGACAATATACTACCATTATTTTTTAGATATATGTCCGTCAGGAATTCAAAACATGAGATCACTTTGTAGTCCAAAATTTCCTCCAAATTTAAAATTGGGTCTGATTTCTAGGGCTACTTAGGGTAAGACGTTAGATAGGTGAAGGAATACCAGACATAAACTTCCTGTCCCTTTCCTCGGCCCTCAACCCCACCCCTGCCCTGCTCCCAGTCCCAGCCCATGGCTTTAGTATTGTACACCTCCCCACCATCAGAGCTTCTGAGGGGCACTTAACAAGAGGAAAATATTAATTCCAAACCCTGATAACATGTGGGATAATTTCTCTGAAAACAGGATGTATATTTTTCTTATGATATAAGAAACTACGTGTTTTCAGGTCCATATAGAAAATTTTAAAACTACGACAATGCTAAGTCAGATAAAACTGATGTTAACCTTTGCAGGCTGTCAAGATCAAAACAGCATGAATTGTACTTTAACATCTGTTATATATTTTCTTTAAGCAAAGCACTTTTCTTATGAAATTTAATGACAATATTGGAGAAACCATGGAAGACCTATTGTTCTTGGTGACAGTCATTGCCTTTGATCTGGCAAACATTATTTCATCAGACTGTATCAGTTGAGTACATCTTCTGCTAATCATGATCTAACCTTCCTGTATTGTGCTTTTAATCTTTAAACCATAGTAACCCAACTGGGTGATGTTCAAAAAACTGTGCTTGGGGCTGGTGTGTTTATAAATGTGACTTCTAAGTGTGGAGGCCTCTGTGTCTCCATCTTCTAGGCACTCAGACATAACATTAAATCTGAACTGCCTGAAAGATATTCTAGATACTATACATATACAACCTTAACTTGTACATCACATTGCTATCTTCAAATATACTTACTTATTGGGTGAACTGATCCACAAAATATATCAGTGACTTTAATGACCCTGAAGTGCATTAGATCACTATATGCATATGATATATGTAATATAAAATATATACACACACGCTGCATATGGTCATACATTTATAAGACTCTTTTTGGCATAACATTTAATGTCATTATATGGAAGGTACTTTATTAACATAAACATGCTATATTGTGTGTCACATAAACAAGTAGAACATAAGCAGGGTACCTGGATATGTTGAAATCTTAATTGAAATCTTTATTCATTAAATTTAAATAAGCAAGTAAGAAAATATATGCACACCTGGAATTAAAAAAAATGCATCCAGGCCATAAATAAACGCATGGGCAAACATTCAATTAAAAATAGATACATAAATTAATACTGCAGACTACACTTTATTCAACATATTAGTAAAATTTCAGAAGGCAAAACTGCAAGCAATTAGCAATATATTGACAATAAATATTTTAAATCAGAAAATAATTTTGAATATATTGTGCTTCTGTACATTGCTTTTCTGCAAATAGCAAAGAGTAAATGCATGTAATTAGACACATATTGCATTATTGTGAATATGTTTAAAGTTAATGCATTAGGCTACATGAAATTGAATTTATTACATTATAACATGTTTTGTGTTGTCTTATTCTGTTTTTCATGTTTCTATCTTCACAACTCAGCATCCAGTTGTTCAGAGGGGAGCAAACACTTAGTTCCATTTTTTCTCAACCAGCAATGCTTCCAAAGTTTCAGGAAAGCAATATGCCTAATGACTCTGGATAAGAAGCTCTGATTCCTTAGCAAATAGATCGTGGGGAATAGGGCTATCTGGACAGTTCTATATTTTACTAGTCATCTTAATTTTTTTTAATTTTAAGATTTTATTTATTTGAGAGAGAGAGTGAGAGAGAGAGTACAAGCAGGGGTGGGGTAGAGGGAGAGAAGCAGACTCCCACTGAGCAGGGAGCCTGAAGACTCAAGACTCCATCTCTGGACCCTGAGATCATGACCTGAGCCAAAGGCAGCCACTTAACTGACTGAGCCACCTAGGTGCCCTTTTACTGGTCATCTTAAACACTAACTTGCTAACAAAAGTCTCAACACTAAAGGCTTACTTAAGAATACCTGAAGAAGTTTATGTTAGCAACTTCAAAATCAAACAAAGAGCAGTCAGGGATAAAATAAGTAAAGAGCATTGGCAGGAAAAAGATAGAAAACATGTAAGCAAAATCAGTTTCCACAAAAGCATTGAAGTATGCAATATGTATATCCAAATATTTTCTCTAGTTTAACATTTTGTGTATATTCTTTAAAAGCAAACAAACAAAGCAACAACCAAGCTAATTTTTCTTTTTCTCTTCAGAGATGGCTCCATTGCCTTTTTGGAACATTCACATTTCTTACAGTCATATTCAGTAGCCAAAGGCATATTTGCTGACAAATAGAGAGGCTCCAGTAATTTATCTACCATCTTTGCATTTTCTACATTAAATCAGTCAAACACATGAATTGGAAAATTTTCTTCAATAAAAATCTCCACAGGGGCTCAAACAATATATTTCCATGGGGCCTCTTGGTACTATTTAGTCCTAATTTAAAGAAAACAAGGCAAAGATCAAAATGGGTATGTCTAATTATCTCTGGTGTGTTTTCCTCAAGCATATCATGATGGATCTTTCTTCCTACATAACTCTGATTTTACATGTTGTCAATATTTTCAAGGTCTTGAAGAGTATTATTAAAAGATTAGAAATTCCCACAAGAAAAACAAAAACAAGAGTCAATACAGTCAAATACAGTCAACTAAATTCAGAGTTCTGAAATTCCTGTTTTAGAATTATCATGGGCCCCCTAAAAACAAAACCAAAGAAGCTGAAACAAAACAAAAGAAGCTGCTTTCATGAAATATAAATATAAATAAGCATTGTACTTTATTTTATTTTACATTATGCATGTCGTTAAAAACTCTCATTTGGGGGGTGCCTGGGTGGCTCAGTCATTAAGAGTCTGCCTTCGGCTCAGGTCATGATCCCAGGGTCCTGGGATCAAGCCCTACATTGGGCTCCCTATTCTGCAGGAGGCCTGCTTCTCCCTCTCCCACTCCCCCTGCTTGTGTTCTCTCTCTTGCTGTGTCTCTCTGTCAAATAAATAGATAAAAAATCTTTAAAAAGAAAAAAAAAAACCTCTCATTTGGAAAGTATACTCTTAGTGTACTTAGGGAGAGGAGAAGCAGAATGAGGGAAAGGTTACAGGGGCTGTGCTGGGGGGCTTATCTTGGAACAAGGACTCCTGAGCCTTTGGCAGTTGCAATCTACACTGGATCCTGTCAGAGATTAGCATACCTTGCCTCCTGCAACCTACCCCCCCAACCTCAGGAACTGATTTCTGTTTCAGAATTGGATGAGTAACCATTCTGTCTCCAGCAAATAAGGTAGCTCTAGGAACTCTGAGGTTACATTCACCTTTAGATCCCTACCTGGGCCTTCCTACCATCCTGTGTCTAGACCAGTGCCTTGTCCACAGTAATTCCTCAATAAAAGTTTATTTTTACAAAATAAATGAGCAAAGGAGAGAAAAAAAAGAGAGAGAGAAAAGGAGGCAAACCAAGAAACAGACTCTTACTATAGAGAACAAACTGATGGTTACCAAA